AGACCCTGTACTGTTGGTAAGAATATAAAATGGTAGTAGCCACAATGGAAACAGCATGGCAGTGGCAGTTCCTCGGACCACCATATGATCCAACAATTCCACTTCTCAGCATATACAAAAAAAAAAAAAAAATGAAGCCAGAAAGACATTTGTATACCCATGCTCATAGCAGCATTAGTCACAGTGGCCAAATTCTGACCCATGCCACAGCATGTAGGAACCTTGGAGGATATGAGGCTAAGTGAAATAAGCCTGTCATAAGAGGACAAATAATACATGGCTCCATTTATAGGAGATATCTAGAGGAGTCAAATTCACAGAGGCTGATAGTATTATAGAATGGTGGTTGCCAGAGGCTGGGAAGAAGGAGAAATGAGGAGTTGTGATTTAATGGTGGCAGAGTTTCAGTTTTGCAAGACGAATAGAATAGAGATGGATGGATGGTGGTGGTTGCACCACGATGTGGATATATTTAATAGCTCTGAGCTGAACAGTTGGTTAAGATGGCCAATTTTACATTGTGTGTATTTTACCACAATTAATTTTTTAAAAAGAGGAAGATGATATCAGGAAAACCCCTCATGGGCAACCAAACACCGAACATTTCTGAGTAAACCTTTTGAATGAGAGTTATTCTGTTGTTTATTTGGCTTCTTGAAAAAGAAAATGAACAAAAACACATCAGTACTTAAAATGGCCCCCATGGGAACAGAGCTTTAGAAATACAGGAGACCCACGTCCCAATGCAAAAGACTGGGCTATGTAGCATGTGAAAAATAGGCTGGGACTACTCTTTTAATAGAAAATATACCACCACTGTGCACATGGGCAGGGGTAGCCTTCAAAGATTCAAAAAGAAATACTGCCCTGCCTGCTCGTCTGACTTATAATGCAGCTGCAAGTACAGAAACCTTAAGGACTTTTTCCCGCCTCCCATCAATGAGACTGTCCCTACAGCCCTCTTCTCAGGGGCCACCAGATTTTCCTGAGCCCCAGAGAGTCTGTAGAGATGCAGAAGCTTCCAGAGAGAGAAGAGGGTTTGAGCTAGTACAACCCATGAAAGGTTAAATCAGAGCTTCCCTCTGAAACCACAAAATGTAAATCAGTATGAGCCTTTTTTTTTTTTTTTTTTTTTTTTACCACACACAGGTCTTTATGGGTAAGATTTAGGTGGATGACCACAGTAAGAATTCTGTTTTTATTGTTGTTTTTGTTTTGGTCTGGTATGGTTTGTTGAGTTTTCTCCAGATAGGGACTTTGGAATTTTACATTAAAAGTTAATAAGTACCCTCCCACCCACACACACACACACACACACTTTATGCGCACACATATCCTATATAATAAAAAGGTAATATGCAAATTGACCCTAACAGCAGAGTGACCAGAACAACCACTGGACCAGTCACTATGAAGTGCACTGACCACCTCTTGATCCCTTTCCCTGGCCAGCAGGCTCCAATCGCCTGATGGCCACCTGCTGCAGGGGTGGGGCCCGAAAGTAAAAGGGGGAGAGGAGGGCCCTGCAAGCAAAGGGAACACAGCCAACCTCTTTGTCCCTTCTCCCATCCATCAGGCACCAAACACCCGATGGGAAAGGGGAAACCAGGGTTGGATGGCGGCAGGGGGACAGGACAGCTGCAGGCAGCTGGGGAAGATGGCCCTGATCACAAGCCATACATGCATGAATTTTGTGCACTGGGCCTCTAGTTTATTGTACTCAAGACTATGATTCACAGCAAGTGCTGCTGACCTGGCTTTGGGGAGAGGGGTGTGGCTGCCCAAGAGTTCACAAAAGCATGCTGAAAAGACAACTGAAAGTAAAAATTAAATTTATATTTCTAGAGAGATCAGTCAGGGAGTAATTTAGTGGGGAAAAAGAATTCCCAGTCTGGGACTAAGTCTTAGGAAAGGAAGAACTAAGTCTCTATGGGGGCATCCTATTGTAAAATCCAATAATATTCAATTAAGGGGTCACAAGGTAGCAAAAGCTATTTTTTTTTTTTTTAATATTTCAAGCAGCCTGTTAGAAACTGACATTTTACTCAGGATGTGGTCACATGGGCTAAGTGAAAGGTCAAGTTGTTTTCTGGCTGAGCTGGAAGTCTATCATGTCAGCGGGTAACATGACATAGCATGTCTCCCCAGGACCGAAATCTCTGGTCGGTCATCAAGGGCATTTCTGAGATGAGATTCTTCCTTCCCATTCGAGTACATGTCTTGGATTGATAAAAAATGGATTTACAGCTGAATTAGCACTTGCTAACTGCAGTTTGGCAGGCAAAGTTTTGCAAGACCCTGGATTCACCAAGGGGGGAAAAATAAAAAGTCTTGGGTGATGAAAAGTTGGGGAACCACTTGAGCCTCCTCGTCCCCTCCCCCAAACAGGCCCAGTTCTGGGGAGTAAAGTTCCCTGGGGCCAGCGTGGAGCGTGCCTGTTGTGTGAGAAACTCCGGGAGAGACAGTGTAAATTAACTGCATCTGGCCAGGCTGAGCCAGGAGCGGGAGGAGATAATTAGTTGGCATTGTCGGAACAAGGGCAAAGAAGAGAGTCCTGTGTTTACTCAGAGAAAATCCCAACTAGACTACTTTGCCCCCATTTGGAGTTCATGGGTGATCTCGACATCTCCGAGTCAGTCGGCGTTTCCTACTGTGAACCCAGGGGCGGGCTGCACAGCTCAACCAAACCTCTGATGGCACCCATCCCTCCTTCAACAAATGGAAACCTGGCTGCATTCACTTTTGCTTCCACAAATGTAGGGAGGAAGGCGAAGGCACACCGAAAAGACATTGAACAGCAATGAAACAAGATTCTGGTGAAGGGAGAACCTCCTCCAACAAAAGACCTACAATGAGCAAAACAAATAAATGCATCTGTTTAGGATAAAATGCTCTCTCTGAAAACCTGGTACTGATCAATTTACGGTACCCTTTCTTATGTCATGTGTGGACACAAAACATTTCGGAAGTAACACATATTTCAAGTGATGCAGAGACGTCAGTGGGCTGTTTTATTGTGCATAAGACACTAAAAGTAAGTACCAGAGTCACATAAAGCTCCATCATACAGTAGCCAAAATGCAGTTTCCACCTCCTCAGAAGAATTTAAGGCATTCTAGCACCAACAACAAAGGTACCAAATATGAAAATATTTTCTCCCATAGATGCAAAAAGACTACTTTTCTTGTATCTGTGGCATGTGTATCGCATTGAAAGAAAACACAGCATATTCAGCTCTATCCATGGGTACAGCTCTATGGATTTTCTTGCAGGAAGAGCTGCTGTTAAGCTCAGAGTCATTAGGATGTGTGCTTATGAGATGCAAGATGCAGGTGAGCATTTGCAGGTTCGCCAATATTTCTAAAGCTGATCTAAGGGGTGTTTATTGCAAGAAAAGATGTAACAACGAGGAGGAGGTTAGAGTGCCTTCCTAAAAGGTTAGCAAAAGTTCATGAAAAAGACTACCTGAAGATTAGAAAGCTCTGGGTACACGCTGGAAGGCCTGGACCTGTGTCTAGGTTGCACTTGTATCCTTCAAACTCCCCCAGAGGATCCCAAAGCCATCCTGGGAAGCTGCAAATAGACGTCCCATGCAATCAGCACACCAACTCACATACATTAGGACCGAGAGGGCTGGGAGAAGGTGCTTGTGGCGGTGAGAGGAGGTAAGGACAACTGTTTCTTTAGTGCCAGCTCTGTTCCAACCAGCTGTGCGAACATGGGCAAGTCATGTCACCATTCCTGGGTTCAGTCTCTTCCTCTAGCAAATGGGAAAGATGGCTGACTCCAAAGAGCTCTTACAACTCCTTTAATGTCAGCTTCTATGCACTTTCAGAAAAAAATAAAAAATCTATACAGCTCCTTAATATTGGTCTCACCTGAACCTCCTAAGATGGCAGTGACCATACACATCTGGCAAACATCGTAAGCCTGCCTTGTCATCCTCTCCCAAGCATCTCAGAGGAGACTGCAGAACGGTCCTGGCTCTTTCAGTGGCTTCCTTAAGCCTACAGAAGCAGGCAGTACCCTCCAACTCTTCTCCCACTGTACCACTAAAGGACAGAAGCGTCGAGTGCTTTGTCCAAGGTCAGAAGCTAGGACGGAATCAGAATTCCAGCCCCCTCGTTCCTAGGACTATGCTATACTTTCCACGAAGAAACCAAGCTGGGTTTCTGGGAAGAATGCCAGAGGTTCCATTCTCCCAACTGAGGATTCACTGGGATATTGGAATAACAACTTTGGAGACTGCGGTCTCTCCAATCCATTTCAGGACCTGGCTAGAAACACGAAAACCCAAAGAAAGAAGCAATAGGGAATTCTTCCGTTTTTTAATGAAAGAGAAAAAATTAGGGGTGGGAATATGGGATTTCTTAAAAATTACATGATTGCTGGAAGTTAATTTGGTATTTCTTCATTGGTTTATAAGTTCTGTTTCCAATCACAAAACACAGACAGCTGAGGATGCCTAACTCACATTTCAATGAATTAGCATCTTGTCCCAGAGAATCTTATCCACTCCGAATATAACACGGGACCCAGAATGCAATCCCCTGCGGTAGAAAGGAATCTCGCTCAACGCAACAGAGAGCTTGTCATAATCCCCTAAACCATAATCTAAACTGGAAGTCGTCAAGCCCGACAGCAATCACTGAGCACACACAGGGCTTGCCACTTCACTTGGAATGCACTGCCTCTTTCAGCAAACTGCCCTGCCAGATAGGAGAGGTGGCATCTCCTACCATCCATGCCCTCCCTACTAGGCTGAAGCAGATGCACCTGGGAAAGAATCCAGGTAGATTTACAGACATAAGTTCAAAAGGGAAGGTTCTGACTTCTTCCAAGAAAGGCCAACCAGAACAAGAAAATGCATGTTAAACTAGCGTTGTGCCTTGAAGGTAACATGAAACCAACATTATGGCAAAGCCCAAGTGATCAGTACTCATAGAGTTGAGATTCATAAATGAAGTGATTTTTTTATTTTAAATCACTTTTTCCCCTACCTGTCGATGATGACAGGGTCTGAAGGAGTCTCATTTCGGTTTCCACAACTTTTCTTTTCACAGCATCGACTGCAGATGGGAAAGGAACCGGAAAAGTAAAAAAAAAAAAAAATGTGTTAAAATCAAGAAAAAAAACAATATACACACAATGTAGGAACATTCACAAAAATTAGTATGTCCTGGGCTAGTAGCCTCTTCACTAGATAGCTGTGGTGAGAGCAGAATTTATGGCCGTGTTTAGAAACAATAGTGAACTTGAAGCCCAGAGATACTCACTTAAATTTTCACTCTGTCACTTATAAGCCGGTAATTCTTAGCAAATCACAATTTTCTCAAGAATCGTATTTGTAATCTGAACCATGGACAGCTGGATTTAAAAATCTGTAAGGTTATTTCCAGCTTGGTGTTGAATGATTTGAATGACTACATATTTTAGGTCTTTGTGTCTTAACAAATATTTAGAGAAAGAAGGGGAAGGAAAATGTATAAAATAGCTGCCTGGATTTTTATCAGCCTTATTTGCATAACATCATTCTCCAGAAAACTCAGTGTACTTTATAAATGTTTATGCCTTCATCCATGTCCATCCTTTTCTAAATATGAAGGAGGAAGAGCAGAACTATGGCGTGTGTTTTAAAATAGGAAGAAAATGAGGGAGGGAGCTGTAAAGTTATAGCTCTGATTCTTTTCACCAAGTCATGGGACAGAAATGGGACTGGATGTACAGTTCCCATCTTGAAAACACTCCCTTCCAAAACGTGCTCCTGCCAGATGATGCTGGAGAATGCACGGGAGAATGTCCTTTGACGTTGCAGAAGTAAAGCACTCCAATCAAAGGGCCCTGCATGGGAGAGCTAGCCAAAGGTCAAACGGGCGAAGGCGGCTTGGTGATGGAGAAGCAATGGAACACCACCTCCTTGAGCTGCCCTAATGTGCTTGTCAGGACCATAGAATTCTGAATACCTCTCAGCTCACTCAAGCACATGGCCCAGCACTGACTATCACTCTGTCAGGGCTTATATGAAAAGCATAATCTCCCTGACCAGTTTGGGTCAGTGGATAGAGCATCGGCCTGTGGACTCAAGGGTTCCAGGTTCGATTCCAGTCAAGGGCATGTACCTTGGTTGTGGGCACAACCCCAGTAGAGGGTATGCAGGAGGCAGCTGACCAATGTTTCTCTCTCATTGATGTTCCTAATTCTCTATCCCTCTCTTTCTCTCTGTAAAAAATCAATTATATATATATATATATATATATATATATATATATATATATATATATATATTTTTTTTTTTTTTTTTTTTTTTTTTTTTTTAAGAAAAGCATTATTGTCCCCACTGGTTGGAGACTATGTCTAACAGGCCTTAACAAGAATAAAATTACAAATAAGTGCGGTCCTTCCCCTGATAGTTCCTCTGTAGCTTAAGGTTGGTATGGCCCAATAGAAAAAATGGTAACGTGGGAATCAGAGCTCTGGCGCCTAACCCAACTCTGTCCAAAACCAGCTGCCTGAATTTAGCCTAATCTCTTTAACCCCGCTGGGGTTTGCCTCCCTATATATAAAATTAAAATGTTGGGCTAGATTATCTCCAGAGTCCCTTCTCGTATAAGAAGTCCAGGAAGCTATGGGGTTCCCTGAGCGCCCTCCAAAAGCGATGACAGGGTAAGGAAAAGAGGGAAGCCATGTGGCAGCAGGAAGTCAGAGGCCTAGCACAGCCTGGGGATAAATTTAGTGTCTGGTTCTCTGCAGTACTTTCACCATCTCAGATCATCCACAGAATTACAAACAAACAAACAAAGAACTACTCTACAACTTTTTAAATCCATCTCTCTCGGGCAGGGGCATGCGGATTATTTAGTGACTAATTTCACCATTCTCAAAAAGTAGACTATACTTGGAAGAAGCCAAAAAAGTAACTTTCACTAAATGGGCACAATGAGGTTTTTTAAGAAATGTGATCAAATTAGTCTGAAGTAAAAGAAAAAGTGTATCCACTTTCTTAAATACCAGAGCTTGCCCCTGGGAATTTCGGAAACAATATTTTGCCTTTGACATTACGTGAGGTCTTAACTTTTAAAATTTCAGCCTGTCCCAAGGTTAACGCCAAATAAAAATGCTGACCAGCTGCTCTCTCCTCTCCCAGAGCTTGTGTCTTTCTTCCCAACGCCTGCCCCCACCCATCTCTGTCTCCCACCTCTCTTTTTTCAAAGTGGCTTCTGTCAGTGGAATACCTTTGCAGTTCAGACAAACCTTTCTCCTTAGCAACACGATTTCAGAAGCCCCATCCATGCTAGTTACCTGAAGCCTTCTACCTCAACCTCCCTTTGACATCACCAGCATGTCAACCTAACCCAAACGTGTGTCTGAGGCCGTGTACAATTTAATTCCAAGCGCGCACGCTGCTAGAACGTGCCAATCTGTTTAGTTTGAGAAGGAGTGATTTCAAGGAGGCTGAATAAGTTTGCAAAATTGCTCAGCTGAATTCAGCTGCTTTCCGTGGGGAGTTTCTCTGGAGGAAAAGAAAACAGATAAAAATGTAAGCCTGGTGCCAGTGTATTACAATGTGGGGATTCGGCTCGGGAAAGGAAATGATATTTAAAGAAAATGCAGAGAGATTTCAGGACCCAATCTTCTCTTTTCCAACAGTCACATATTTAAGTATAATCTCTAATGTTAATAGCACAGGAAAGATGTAGAAGGCAGTTACTTGGCTGTTGCACTATAAAAATAAAGGTATAAAAATAATAGGAGTGGACTGTATTTGCCCCATTGGAGCCCTTCTTAGAATTTCTCTGGGTTAGCCAAAGCTAATTTTCATTTCTTTTTTATTTTTATTTTTTAAAGAAAAATTCTCATCAAGGTGTCCTAGTTGTTCTTCATTTGGCTGCTTAAATAGCATTCGGTCATCACGCCAGAATATTAAGCTAAGCAAAGGGGAGTGGGCAGTGGAGAGAGGAGAGTGGAGGGCATTCAGGAACCACAGTCCCACACAATCGCTCTGGGCCCAGGTGTGTGGATAGTTGAGAGAAGGAACTGGGTCCCTGAATTGCACAGATAACAAACTTCAAGTTCAGTTTCTTTAGCTAAAGAGGCTGTTCAGGTTATTTCCCAGCAAGCAAGTCGGTGAATCTGAAGTTCTTGTTCAGTGAAAATTGAACAAAGAGAAGAGGAGACTGAACTTGGCCCTAGGTTAAGAATGTGGTCCTGACTACCACCACGGAGAGGCTCAGAAGGGCCCCTTTTTTTCTTGTGAATAAAAATGAAAGCTCTTCCTCTATTCCTCTGTTTGGCTTGGCTTGGTTTATCATATTCTAGCACTTATTTGGAGAACCTTTTACCTGAAATACTCTCAAATCGTTAACAGGCCTTTTTCATCCTTCCTATCTTTTCATGGAATCTTAAAGGGAAAGAGAAAAAAAAAAAAAACAAACAACAACAAAACAAAAAAACAAGTTGGGGATAGGGGTTGGGGGAAATGAGAAATGTTATCCCAATCCTGAATCTTCCCTGAATTTTTCAGGAAAGGGGAAAGAAAAGGGGGGAGGGGGTTGGAGGAGAAAAGGCCCAGCCATGGACACAGGGTGTCCAGTCAGCCAAACTCCTGCTCAAGACAAGTGGATGTGCCCTTTCCCCTCCAAAATCGTTTTTAAAATTCAACCCTCAACTTTCAAAAATCTGTCTCTAATTTCAAACTCAAATAAGCGCACAGCATGGTGGCTTTTGTTTTGTTTTCTTCTCCCCAACTCCTCCCTGCGATTGCATAACAAAAGTGTCTAAATTCACACCATCTGGCCGATAAAGACACTGGCCCCACTGCCCGGCTGGCCCATCTGATTAGGGCCCTGTCTCGCCTGCGCCTTGTGGCGAAAAGTCACAGCTGTGGGGTTTGCTCGCACTCAATACAACTCTGTTATTAGCCAGCTGTAGGCCTTGAGACGACTTCTGTTCAAATTATAATATCTTTTAACCCTCTGAGCATTTGAGGGCAGGGGTGGCTGGCAGCGACATAACAACTAGATTTCTCTTCGCTAATAATTGTCAGAATGGACTAAAGCAGGGAAGAAGGGACAGATACAGTTGGTGAAGGGGGAAAAGGTTGTGCTTAACGATATCGACATTGTTTTCTGCCTCAAAACTAAACGCTCATGGGTGAGCTTTTTTGATTAAAGATTACAGAATATAAAACCATGCAGGGACATTCCCAGGTAAACCCCAAAACTCTCACCGTACAAATGGAACCGGGTGCGCTAACCAGTGAGAACGGGGGCATCTGATTCATCCCTCAGTCACTGAGGGCTCTAACTGGCTCTTCAAATGTGGGAGCAGGAACTTTTTCTCTTCCTAACTGCAGAATCAGTCAGCTCAGACTTGACACATTGCATCCAACGTTTGTTACTAGTTCATCTACACACACACACACACACACACACACACACACACACACCAGAAACAGTGCCCATCCAATGGATCATTTATTTACCCATTAATTAATATTTGTTTTAAATTCCAGTTAGGAAAGAAAGTAGCAGAGCATCTCTTCCCGGGTCTCGAATACAGAGAAGTTACAGTACATTAAATTTTTATATTGTGTTACGAATGCAGACTAAACTGGAGGCTTTAAAAATTGATGCTGCTACTTAAACTGCATAAAACGAGAAGGATTTGATTAGGCTTAAAAATAAAAATGTCAGCTTTAAACACCACTGGATGGGGCGTGCGAGTATTCTTTTAAAACGAGAAGTATAATTCATCAGACAATGGGCCAATTTGGGGCTTCCTTTTCTTCTAAGAAGATAATCCCTCCAAACAAAGACATTTAAAAGTACAGAGAGAAATTAAAAAGCACCCGCCAATTAGCCACCTGAATCAGTGTTCTGACTATCTAGCCTAGTTATTACATGCAAGTTCATCTTGCAATTGTATTTTCTTTTTAAATGGATCTGGGAAGGGGCCCTGAGGTGACGACGAAGTGGGTATCTTACTCCAATGCCCTGCATCTCACCCAGCTCCTCAGGCAGGGCAGCCAGGACCCCTCCGCTCTGGCAGAGCTCAACCTTGCATTTGGCAAAGTTTGTTTTTCTAATACTTGGTCAAAACCAAAACAAACATGTCAAATTGTTATGTTTCTTCCCGACTGGGGTGTGAGGGAGACGGCACTGCCAGAAGCTGACCATAAAACAGCCCGGGCTGCCTCAGCCACGGCCTCCAATTACCCCAAACTGGCAAGTCTGGGAGTTGGAAGACATTTACAGAAACAGTCGCGCAGCGAGGAGGAATTGAGGCTTTCTCTCCGATCAGAAATTTTGGAGGAAGAAAAACACGTGTGTGTGTGTGTGTGTGTGTGTGTGTGTGTAACAAACATTTACATTTTTATGGTAAAATTACCACCTCTTCCCAGAGTTTCCTTTGGATAGAAAACTCTGCTTTGCTAAGGGATCCCCAACATCTAAAAACAAAAAAACAAAAACAAACAAACAAACAAACAAAACTAGGAACTCAATAAACATTTGTTAAGAGAAAAAGTGAGTGGAGGAATTTCTTCTAATTGTTTTATTTTCTTCTAGCCAAGCAGAAGAAAGACTCAGATGGCATGGATCCATCTCTGCAAGAAGATGGCGAAAGGTGCAGAAATGCCAGCACACGACTTAGCCCTGAGAAATTCCTCTCACAATGTGAGGACCCAGCTGTGGCTCCAAACCCAGCTCTCCGGGACAGGGTCCTCTCCCACCCCTCCCATCACAGGTGGTAAACCCCTCTGATCGTTCCCCCCACGGTTCCTCCTCACCTAAGAAACTCCTCTGATGTGAGAAATCGCTGGAGAAGCAACATTCCTGGAGGAAGGAACTGCTTTGGCATCTTATACATGTGCCTCAGGTGGGGTGCCCCAGAAATGGGCTGCTGGGCTCTCAGTGCTTTGATTGTGAACCTGTGACCCCTATTTGGAAATCTACCCGGAGCTTGCCAGACCAGTGGGAGGGAGCCTGGTCTGAGGAAGTCCCCATTCCAAACTTGGCTGGGGGTTGCCCCGTGCCTCCCTGAGCTGCCACCAACTGCTGGCCAACAGAAACGGTCCAGGGCGGAGAAAGCCTCCCGGACACCTGGGGAATCCTGCCTGGTTCTGGGGTCCTTTCCGAGATGCTCTGAGAATCGAGCCTTTAGTAAAGAGAAGTTCTAGAGAGAAGCTCAGCCTCCCTCTGTTCGCACCATCACTCCTGCAAGTCATGGTGGGGGCATCCCTGAGCTCAGAGGCCCGCAACCCTGTACCCCTGCCCAGCGCGCTGGCAAAGTTTGCCCGCGGGACAAAGCAGCTCTTACCTGCACATGACTTCGTGTGTCAGAAGAACTCGGCACATTTCCGGATTCTTATTTTGTCCCTCGTAAGCGATGGGCTGCGAAGGAGGCAAGGGCAAGAAGGGAAGGTGTGAGGGGAGTGAGCAAAACAAGGAACAGGGGGGCTTGAGAGCGAGCACAGAATCCGTTTTCCTCTCTGCCCACCTCTTCATTAGGTATGCCCACCGGAAGCACAAACCCCAAGCCGTGGCCTGGCTAACTCCAGCAAAATAATCACAGACAAGTTTGCCCCACGAGTACGTTTTCCTTGCAAAAAAGTATTTCTTGTTTGGGGGACCGAATCTCCCAATAATGGCTTTCTCCCTTCACACTCTGCTCATGTCCCCCACCCAGAAGGAAACAGAACCACTGAGGAGAGAGCAGCAATTTTTCTGTTCATAGTGAACAAGGTGAGAATTGATGGTCAAGGGCATGTGAGTCTGACCCCGGAACTCGTGGAGGGTGGGGGCAGGTCAGAGAAAGTTGGGGGGAGGTCAGAGGGCCCCCCACCCCGCAGAGGAGGAGCCCACTGGCTCCCGGGGCTAACCTGCTTAGTGACCGAGTCAATGAGCCTGACGTACAGGTCCTGCTCCGTGCGGACACCTGTGGGGAGGTGATGGGCACAAGGTAAGGGCCCCAGAGCTTCTCCTGGGGAACCCCCAAAGGTCCCTGTTGTAGGGCCAGGCCCAGGAAGCTGCCCCGGACTGCCAGCAGGCTGAAAGGTCCTGGGGGCAAAGACCACCCCCCACTCCCACCCTTCCTGCCCCCCCCTCAGGGTCCTGACTGAGCCTCCCCAAACCCTGCTGTCCTAGGACCTTAGACTGCCTGCAAGCCACCTGGACACAGATCACCTGCTTTCCTTGACAGGGGCCTGTGTGGCACCTGGACCGGGGGGGGGGGGGGGGGGCCTCTCACCATTGCTGTAGAGGAGCTGTAGCTTGTAGTGGGTGCCATTGTTGGTCTTCTCATTGCCTTGTTCCTACAAAGACAGGCGGGGCTGGGATCCCTGGCTTTGGAGCCCCCAGATGAGGGAGAGGGGAGAGAGCACACTCCACACCACCTCCCAAAGCCTTTCACCCCTCCACCAGGCTGCTTTGAAGGACTCTGGCCCAGCCCGGGGTCAAAGGGCAGGGGCTTCTGCTGATGGACACCCGCCAAACCTTGCCAAGACTCGACCACTTGGCCACTTGACCCTCTCCCTTAAAAATACCCTCAGGAGGGAGACCCCAACCAGTCTCCACCCAACTCACCCAGCCGCCCCAGGAAGTTGCAGGTTCTCTAAGCAGAAAGGTGAGGGGGCCTGTCCTAAGCAAGAGCTCCCTTGTCCCAACCCCACAGGACCAGCACCGCGGGCCACCAGCCCCAGGGATGGGCCAGGCGCTGGTGGGACTTCCGGGGCGCCTGCTGAAGGGGAGACTGCGGCTCAGAAGGCCAGAGACTTTCCCTTCGTCTCACCTCGGCTTCCTCTGAGGTCAAAGGCAGACCCCAGCCCGGTCCGGGTGGGGAGCGGTGCGCCGGGAGCAAGCGAGGGAGCGCAGTGACAGTGAGGGGGGCCGGCCGCTCTGGTCTCCACCTGGTCCCCACCCGCTCGGCAGATGTAGCCCAACTCACACCCCCCGGAGCAGGCTGCAGGGCCCGGGGAACCTTCAAACTGCCCTCTCCTGGGTGGGCGCTGGCTGCGGGCTGTGCCTCCAGCCCCGCAGCAGGGAGCGCACCGGCGGCAGGGCGAGGGGAGCGGGGAAACCCAGGGATGGAGAGGCTGCGGGTGAGAAGCTCGCTCTATGGTCCCTGATGCCGCGACAGACGGAATCCCAGCGCCTGGCCCATCCCGGCGGCGGTGAAGGGCTTACCTTGTCGTTCTCCACGAAGTCCACGAAGGCCGTGCGCTCGATCTCCACGGGCTGGCCCTGCCGATCGTAGAGCGCCAGCACGAAGTGGAAGAAGTTGGACTTGCGCAGGTTGGAGGGCGGCTGCTTCTCGAAGTGCGCGCGGGACAGGGCGACTCCGCTGCGGGGGACACGGGACGGCGGGGGGTGGGAGAAAGGGGGAGAGAAGACACGGGTTACTCCTGGAGGCACAGCCGCGGCTCAGGGACAGGTCCCAGGTCAAGAGCTCTGGGCCCTCCGCCCTCTTTTCAAACCGGATAAGAGCCTGGAGAGGACTCGCAGGGGCCAGAGCGCCCCGTCTGGCCTCTGGGAAAGCCCAGCGGAGCCCAGCGAAGCTCAGCGACAGGCCGAGGCCGGGCGGCCCCTGGGCGGGCCCCGCTCCGGTCCTATCGGGCCGCCCTCGTCTATCTTATCCGGTAGCGGTGGCCGCCACAGAAGGGGTCAGATGTCAGAGCTGGGCCCAGGTTTGGGAAATAAGTGCCTCCGGACTTTTGAAGACCTGACCCTTTTCCGTTATCTTTTCTAGAGCTACCTGTGTGAGTGCTACTGCCCATGACCCTCCTCACTCACACACACACACACACACACACACACACGCACACATACACACTCACACTCACACACATACACACACACACACACACACACACACACACACACACTCACGGCCCGCAAGTAGCCCAGAGCCCACGCCTGAGTCTTGTTTCCCTCGCTCATCCGAAAAGCTGCCCAGCACCCGGGCAGGGCGGAATCCCCGAAGCCAGCCTTAAGGAGCTCGGGCAACCAGGACAACCTGATCCCCGGGGTTTCCGCCCCTCAAACTGCTGAGTTTGGAGGAGCCACAATGTTTGTTAGGACAGAGGCAGGCAACGTCCTCGCCTGGGGCCCAGGGAAGCCTCATTCCGGCCGGGCCTCGTGTGCGGGCGGCGCCAGTCAAACCCGCCGACCGCGAACCCTTTTGGGGGGACTCGCGGGGCTCCTTGGAGGGCACCGAGTGTGTGCACACACCTCCCCGCCTTCCCGTGCGGGCCAGCCGCCAGAGAGCATCCACCCGGAGCCGGGCGAGCGCAGAGGCTGCACCCGCCCCGGGCTCCGGCTCCGCGGGCCTCCTGCTTGGGGCGCGAGCACAGCTCCCTGGTTTAAACATTGTCCCGGTGAACACCCCGCTCCTGCTGCCCGCTCCGATCCCAGTCAGTGTTCGATCCGGGGAGAGGAGGAAGGCAGGTGGTGTCTGGAAGGAGCGGGACGCACGCCGCGGGCCGGCTGTGCGGGCTGCCTGCTCGCCCCCGGCCCCGCGCCCAGGACGGCGGCGGCGGAGAGCGGCGGCGGCGCGGGGAGGGAGCCGCCTCCGCCCGGACCCGAGCAGAGCGGGGCGAGGGGCGCTCCCTCTCCTCCGAGGGCGGCAGCCGGTTCGCTCCACCCGGGACACGGGGAGCCGTGCCCCGCTGAGGAAGGAGGAATGTCTGGGCGACACATTGGGGCTGGGAGGCGGTGACCAGGAGAGCGGATGGGGAGGCTGGCGTCGTGGGAAGAAGTTCGTGGGCTCCTTGGGGGTCAAGTGTCTTTCTCTCGCAGACGAGGACGTGGGGACCACAAAGTCCAGCGCAGCCGTGGTGGGTGATGAGGGAGGGGAGCCGGACTGTCCTCTCGGGGTGGCCCTCGGGCCCTGGCGCTCCCCATCTCCGCACGCGGACGCCTGGACACTGTCCGCTCCGGGACCGGCAGCACCGGAGGCTGGCTGCGCCCGGCGGCGTGTGCCGCCAGCTCCTCTCCTCGCCGCCTTTCTTCTGCGGCAGTTCTTTCCACGGACACTCCTTCGCCTTTTCCTCTCGGATTCCTTCTTCCCGTCACCCCGCCTCGAGACGCCTGGCACCCCGTTCTATCTCTGCGCCCCGGCCAGCCCCCCTCCCAGAGCTGCAAGCCGCTTCGCCTTCCCGGGAAGCTGATCCGCTCCGTCCGGCTGATCCTCTCGCCGCCGCCGCCGCCATCTGCCCGCCGGGCTCCGGCCTCCGGGAAGCGCCGGGCTGGAAGCGGCGGGGGCGGCTCTGCGGGAGCGGCGTTCCGGGGAAGCCGGTCTCCGCGGCCGCCCCGCCAGCCCCGCTCCCGGGGCTCTTCTCCAGCCCAGCCCCTCCGCGCGGTGCCGGAGCGAGCTGCGAGGCGGCGGAGGATGCTACTTTGTTATTTTTCCTCCGCGAGAGTGGGGGAAGGAGTCGGGGGAGAAACTCAACGGCACAGGCAGTTCGGAAACTCCAGTGTTCGCTGCGCGGTGAGTGCTCCCCAGACCGCAGCGACCTGCCTGCCTCAGGGCGAGCCCCGGCGCGCGGGGCCAGGGCGACAGCTGCGGGGGAGAGAGAAAGGGACAGAGCGGGCGAGCGGGAGGAGGGGGGACGGAGAGACACAGAGACGGTGGGAGAGCAAACGAGCCGGAGAGACTTTGAGAGCATGATAACGGGGCGGCCGTCTGGTTACCTCTGCGCCGCGACATTGGCGTCCACCACGCCGACGTTCCTGACCCAGGATCTGACCGAATCCATCTCGGCGCTCAGCGACTTCTCTTTCAGAGCTGGCCCTCTTCCTAAAGTATCTTGAATCCCAAACATTTAAAAAAAAGTGTGATCTGTCTCTTTAAAAACAAGAGTTATCACACTGTCCTTACTGTTCCCAACGTTGCCACCAAACCGTTTCCTCCAAATCGATCCAAAAAAAAAGGACCAAGTACTGAAGTTTCAGTCTCTCTTGGAAAAAAAAAAAAGAAGAAGAAGAAGAAGAAGAAAAAGAAAAAGATAACCCGTCCTTTGCTTCACGCTTTGAGGTGCGGATGGGTGCGGTTAAAGTTTGGGATTTATCCTCCACGAGTTCAGATCTGCCGCCTCGGGTCCTCGGTCCTAGGTCGCTCGCATCCTTCCCCCGGCAGCGCTGCCTCCAGAAAGTGATCACAATTTGGAAGCATCACCTGTTCTGGGAGAAACAGGAGGAGATGGATGACTGCCTAATCTCTCCCTTTCCTCCTGGTACCCCACCCTCCCGACTCCCTCCCCCACGCCGCTGCAATTTAGAAAGAAAAAAAAAAATTCCCAACAGGATCAGTTGTAAAAAGAAGGGGAAGACCCGGAGCGGAGAGGAGGCGGCGGCTGCGAGCACCTCGGAGCCGGGCTGCCGCCGCGCCAGGGCCCCATGAATGGGTTACTACGGCCCCGGCCGCGGGAGGCGGAGCCGCGGCCCGATAAGGAGCCTCATTTGCATGGACGCTCGGGATTGGCCAGCGCAGGGCTGGCCGGGCGACGTCCTCCGGCGGCGCGCGCCACGCTCGGAGGTGAAAGGGGACTAGGGAGCCGCGGACCCCGCGTCCACGGTGTGCGTGCGCTGCAGCGAGGTGGCCTGCGACGCGCCCACGCGGTCGGGGCGCAGGAGCGGGGAGCCCCCAGGGGTGCCGCCTCTCGGTGTAGATTTTTGTATCCCGCTGAAAGGCACATTCATTCCTGAATCTAGGATCTGTGGGCGTGTGTGTGTGTGTGTGTGGGGAAGCGGCGAGTGTGACCACATGCACTTAGGGTTTGTGCATACTCTACCCCCAGATGCAACCCAGTCTCCTGGAATTACAGAGGGTGACACTCAGATTCTGTGTGCGGCTTGCAAGTTGAGAGAGGAGGGTGGATGAATGAAAGCGGGGAGGAGGGGGTGGAGTGGAGGAGTACGAACAAGGCTCAAGTGCTATTCAAATAAATAGTGTCAGGGAGAATGGTCAAGGAGCTCAGAAACATACCCCCGGGCGGAAGCGAGCTGGAGTCGCACCCGTGCGTGCGGGAGAGGTTGTCGACAGATCCTGCAAGAGCTGCCTGGCGTCCTCCCGATGCCCCCTTCCGCCTCCCACCCAGGTCCCTCCCCGAAGCCCAGGGAGGCTGCAGAGGAGCTGCCAGGAGGCGGCAGGGGAGTCGCGGAAACTTTGCCCGCGGCGCGCGCGGTCGCCGAGGTGCCGGCGGTGGGCTGGCGGCCGGGAGGCGGCGGCGGCGGCTCCGCCAGCAGCTGAAACCTTAGACGGCTTTTTAACTGCACCGGGCAGCTCGCGGTGCCTATTAAAAAATCCTCCTGGCTGGGTGTGATTTTCTTGCTTCCGCTTTTGTATTCTGATCTGCGCAGAGATCTGCTGCCGCTGAAATCTAGAACGCTAGCGCGAAAACAGATTTGAAGACAATGAATGCAAATCTGTGCTCAAAGACCATCTGCCGTGGAGGAGGCGGATCAGCTGCTCCTCGGCGGGAGCCACTGCGCCCGGCCGCCCTGCCTCTCCGCGGAGAGGGCCCCGCGGAACCTGGGCTGCGTTCAGGGCCCACACCCGGGACCGCAACCCGAGCGTGAACCGACTTTGGACCAGACCCCTTAGGTGTAGGTGAGCGCTCACACATGAACTGCGAGAGTTTGCCGCTAGAGGACACAACTCATTTTCGCCCGAGATTGCCCTCAGGAAGAGCAAGTCTCTCCTGCGGAGATTTACTGCAAAACTGAAGGGGTTGGAAGGGGTGCGCGGACCCCATCAGTACAAACTCTGGGTGATTTTACTTAAGGGGAGCAAGAAGGTGAGTCCTCTCCCTCCCTCCCGCCGCGCCTTTAGATGGCGCTGACTGTGACACCCCCACCATAGGGCTTGGGCCTCCTGGTTAGGTCACAAGGCCAGGGGAGCCATGAAGGGCACTGGGCACCAGAATATTGTGTGTGTCACAACTGGTGTGCAAGCCGAGTGAGGTAGGAGTTGAGCAAAGACAGGAGGAGGAAGATGGGAGTGAAATTTGTTGGAATGAAACTACCCTTTTTCAATTCGGCAATTCTCTGTGATATGCAGGCTTTATGGATATTGTCGGTCCCTTAAAAAACTCTGCAGTGTGTCTTTTACCCTGAGTCGCTCTCTTTCTAAATCTCTGTGAAGCTCAACTTAACCACCCACCCCATCCATCCTGGTCCGTGGACTGCGCTCAGTGGAGGTAATGCCTCGGACTCCTCGGCGGAAAGTGTGGGACAGCCCGTGGGCCCCTCCACATGTGTTGATGAACCCCGATGTTTTTTTTTCTCTCTCGGCCAAGACCAGAACCGAGCGCAACCCGAGGGGCCGCGGGGCAGCAGTGGGGCCCGGCCCTGTCCGAACCGTCTGCCCTTCAGGCCCGGGCAGGCTGTGGTAAAAAGGCATCGACAGGGCCCAGCACGCTGGCTCTCCTCGCCCAACCATGCCCCCGGGGAGCGAATGAACCGGTCCTTTTCTCAGGGCTCCCGGCCGCCCTCCCCAAACCAGACGGCCGCGCTGGGGGGACGCCCCCACCCGCACGCCCCAAAGACAAGTTGAGGGGCCCAAGGGCCGCGCCGGGAGGTCGCTTTGGAAAACCGTGGCCCAGGGCATATGGACCTGGGCCGCGGGGAACCAACCCGCTCCTCGCCCGCCCACCGAGCTGGAGGCAGCGCCCCGGCCTCCCGGGGCGCATGGGGCGAGCGGCGGCCGCTGTGCCCGGAGCCCCGTGGGCTTCCAGCCGCGGCGCCCACGTTGGCTCCGGGCTGAGATCACGTTGCCGAGGAGCGCGGGGAGGAGGGCGGAGGGGACCGGGAGCCTGGGAGGCAGCCGTGCGCCCAGCACGGCGGCGCTCCGGCCTTCTGGGAACCCGGAGCATGTCTGCCAGCCCGGTTGGGTTTAATTAGGTTTGGGGAGGGTTGGGGGTGGGGGGGCAGGGAGTCGGCCACCCGCGAGGAAGAAGCGGAGGTTGGAGACGGAGGGAGCGGCAGCGGCGCGCCTGGAGGGCCGCTCCCCTCCCCATCGCCTCCGGCTACCCCTGAACAAACCTCTCGGAGCGCCCTGCGCACAGCCCGGCCGGAGCTGCGGGAGGCGGGGGCGGGGGTGGGGGGCGCGGGCAGGCGCAGCTGCGCCCCCAGGACGCCCGGCCGCCCGGAGTGCCGAGCCGCGCGCCTCCCCCGCCCCGGCCCTAGTCTCGCTCCTCTCCCCCGCACGCAGGGGCCGAGAAAAATCCAACATGAACATGATTAACATTCTTCACGCCACGCGATTTGCACAAAACCGGGGTGGTTGCACAAAACCGGGGTGGGTCGGAGGCACTCGCCTTTTACCCCGACCCCTCCTTTGTTCCCTCTTCCGGGCGAACCCGGGTTCTTCCCCGCTTACGGTTCACATCTGCACCTCCGCGTTCCCTCTCCCACCACCACCACCCTCCCTCCCCAGGCTGGTTTTAGGTCCCCTTCCCCGATCTCCTTAGGTCTAGTCTCCTGGGCGCCGCGTCTCTCCTCTAGGTCAGAGGTTCCGAAATTTTTCTTAGAAAATTGCTCTCGGGGCCTCTTTCGGGTCCAGCTGGGCCCTGGGGTGAAATCAGGTGTGAGAACTCCCCCCGCCCGGCCCCTGGCAGTCTGACCTTCACCCCCCACCCCCAGACACACACCCCGCGGCGGGCGCCAGGGTCCAGGAGCCTGGCTCGTGCCCAGGGAATTGGACCCTGGGGGACCGCAGTCTGGGTTTTGTAAATTCAGTGAATGGCAGGTCTCTGCGAGTCCCCTCTTCAGACGTGAATTTTCCCAATTTGTTTGTTTTAGTTGGAACCTTTGCTTTTGATCCGTCCGAGGAGAAATGCGTGCATTTGGTGGCCATCCCAGAATCCTGCCGGATATTTTAGTTCACAGTCTCTCGTGAACTAATTTCTTAAATAGCCAGCCCCACTGACACCCACTCCCAATTTCATTTTTTTCTTACGAAACTGGCCTTGTACGTTCCGGAGAGGAGGGAAGAGCTACTCTAGCCCTAAGCGAGTTTGTCTCCTTTTGGACAACTCAGTAAGCAGTTAGATTCGCTGTTTGTTTGGGGGGTTTTTTGTTTGTTTGGTTTTTCTTTTTTGTTTGTTTGCTTGGTTTCTGTTTTTACCTAGTGAATGGGTTTCTGCGGGAACAGCTGTAAAAACGGGGTGTGGAAGGACATGACACAGAAACAGGATGTTGCACCCAGGCCCGGGGGTCGCTGCACCGCCTTTATCCGAAAGGACTGAAGAAGACAGAGTTGCATCCACCCTAACCCTGGGTCCCCACAGAAAGTCTCTTCCTCCTGTCTCTCCTTTTTCTTCTCCCGCCTCAGTATCCCTCCTGAAACCTACCCTCTCTCCTCATCCCCTCGTTCTGGGTACAGAGCCCCTGCAGAGGTGTTGAAGGGAAAGGCCAAGATACATTTTGGAAGGAACAACCGCATCTGGGCGTTCGGAGCCCGGAGGGACATGGGAGCTGGGCTCCTGGGAAGGCGTGTGTCTTAAGGGGCAGGTGACCCGTAGAAAGAAAAGAGCCTGACGTGGCTTCCACTAAGCCTGGGGGCCTGATTTCCTGGGTGTCAGGGTGAGGTGCGGCCGAGCCCCGGTTTGGGCCGCATTGGTGTGAATGGCCGGTTCCAGCGGCCTCCGGGTACCTGTGCGCCAGGCGGGAGGCGGCTGTCACTGCGCCGCGCAGGGCTGCGCTCCAGAAGCGGACTGGCGGCATAAGAGACCCCATCAGTAAGACTCCACGCAAGAAAAAGGGCTAACGAACTGGAGGGTCACCCAGCCCTTGCACACACTTTCTCACCCTTCAACGTGAC